CATGTCGTCAGCTGTCTCTAGAGCCATTCCAAGCTAGCATGGCGCAGTATCACCGTAGACATCCCTCACTTACAGTCCACACCTCATGTTGCTGTCAGCTTTCTGCATAATTCGTTGATCCTGAGTTTAGAACTTAACATCTCTTCAACTACGTAGCTTTTGTGAACCCTGTAAAAAGTGTTTGGAGACTGGTTTTTCTAACTGAAAGTACTACGTCTCAGCTGCAAAGAAAGATGGACCAGTGTCTGTCCCTAAGCTCCCCTGAAGGCAAACATTTCTTTTGTCTTGGCAACGATGCCGTCAGTAAGAATGACACCTCCAACCCATTCCCTGCACACGGGGCAGGCTGGACACTTAGAGCCTGAACACCTTGGCAGGACATCCTTCTCTCTGTGTTGAGAGGTAGGGAGGGGGGGAGTGTCGGAGGGAGAGAGGGAGGCAGAAGTGGGCAAAGAAAGGAGGGAGAGAGGGAGAGGGAGGGAAGGAGAGAAAGAGGGAGAGACAGGAGTGGAGAGGGATAGAGAAAGAAACAGAAACAGAGAGACAGAGAGAGACAGAGAAACAGAGACAGAGATAGAGGGAGAGGAAGAGACTTGATGACTCCCCCGAATCATCCTCCATGGCCTGAGCACAGAAAAGCACAGAGAAGTAATCCCATCTCTACATTAATGAATTGCAGGTGGAGGCTTCCTACGAGGCTCCCAGATCTGGCCACATCCGATGGCATTATGGGGTCATCTCATCAGGAAGCCTGCGGACAGCCCCATTGCTGTGTGTTTCGTCACCGGCAGTAAGCATGTCTTGATCAATGTGCTTGTCAATGCTGCCTTCAGGCTGTGAGACAACCTGGAGAAAATGTTTGTTCTGTGGTCAAAAGATGGCCCAATTTGAGTTTCCTAATTTGTGTTGGATCCTTGGCATAAGAGAACATCTGATAAGCATTAGTGGCCAGTGTGCAGACATGAGTCTCCTCCACTCAGTGTTTGTTTGCACGTGGGGCTCCGAGGGCCCCGGGGCCTTCCTGGCCGTCTGAACTCCTAGTTTTACAGTCTGGGGCTGGAGTGGGCAGACTTCCGTGAGAGGAAGGAGGCCTGGCTTTTAGCTCTGGTCCCCTGGTCCTGGGGAGGCTGTGGGTATAGAGAGCATCCATGGCTGTTTCATTGTTTGGCAGATAGGGGTGCAGTGCAGCCTGCGGCTCTTAGGAAGTGTGTCAGCTGCCTCCAGGCGGCAGCCCTGATTTCCCCTCTTCCTTCCAAATTGGTATCACTAAACCTCTTTAATAATATGCTTTCAATTATAGTTACATACGTCTGTGACATAACCCCCATTGCAGTCTGCGATTTGTTTGAAGACAGGTCCATGTTTGAGACAGTCTTCCCCCACAGAATGTAGGCCAGAGCTTGGCACACCGCATCACTGGTGCTTGGGATGTGCTGACGGCAGTGAGGATGGTGATGGCGGTGATGAAGGTGACGGTGGTGAGGGAGGTGACGATCATGCTCATAGTGACGATATTGATGGTGATGATGATGTCGGTGGGGATCATGGTGATAGACGTGATGCGACCGCCTACCATTTATCAAACATCTCCTCTGAGCCATGTGCTGAGCACTTTAACTCACCTTTTTACTCTCATCCTTTTATCTGCTTGAAGAAAAAAAGGAACTATATTCCTAATTTTGAAGGTAGTAAAAGTGACGCGCGAGGAGGTTGTCCAAAGCTGTGCAGGTTCCACAGAGCTGTGCTGACAGGATCAGGCCAGTCTCCCCAAAGAGCCTTCCTTCCCCGTGGTTTTATCCAGTGTAGAAGGTGTGGGTGAGCGGGTGAGCAGACTCTACTTCTCATGTGGCCACACTGTGGGTTAAGGAATGTGCCTGGAGGAATGGAATGTCGGGGTAAATTTTATCAACTGTGGCAGTTCTCAGATGCCTCGTACACAGTGTACTTACCATACCAGGGATTCCCACACTAGATTTCTCTAGCATGTGTACCAAGAACCAATGTACCAAAACTGGCCACACCATGTGTTGGGCAGTGGCAAATTGTTAGACTTTTAGGCTGCTAATTTCCGGATTGGGGCGACTAAAGTCCTAAAAATTATTCAGCATTATTTTAGGGAACCTGACATCATAAGCTTGTTGAATTGAGGCTTAAAACTTCTTCGGGGGGGGGGGGGTGGTTTATGCTCAGTTCATCTGTGGACTTCCTCCTGCTTTAAAGAAAATGAAGGCCTAAGGAGGTAAAGTAGATAATAACCCTGACGATACTAGTGGCAGTAGCGATTAACACGCTGTGCCAAGCAGAGTGTTATCATCCCCGTTTTACGGATGACTTGGAGATTAAATACTTCGCCAAAGCAAAGCTCACTAGGTTTGTGAGATCAGAGGTGTGAGCCAAACCCAGGCAGCCTTGCCCCAGAATCCAGCCCCGCCTACTAGTCTCTCCTTCAAGACTTGAAGCCACGCAGAAGGAGCCGCCACCAGAATACACTTCCTGCCGATCTCCCACTTCCCAGGACTCCTGGTTATTCGGTGGCACCCTCGCCTGGGCCACAGTGAGCTCCCCTGAGGACACCATCATGCTGGCCTTCATTTACAGAGGACCTGGGATGATTTGTAAAAACTGATGCTTTTCTATGATTTCTACAGTTTACCTACTGAAATATTCTTTTTCCCTCTTTACCTTAATTTGGTTCACAGCATAAACAGACCCAAAGTAGGTTGTTTATCCCATTCCACTGCACAGGTTTCGTTCAGGAGTGATCCACTGTGCACTGTGTTCAGCCTGGTTTGTTCTTTACCAGGGGCTTTCCAGTTCGACCGTAATTAGAGGCTCTTTGAGCAGAAGTCCTCGGTTAGGCTGCATTCATGGCAAAAAGAGGAGAGAGGCTTGTGGGCACATTAATGAGGCATTTGGATGCCTTCCCTAGCCCCCAGCACTATGACCTGACCAGGTGTTCAGAGACAGCCTTTCTGAACGGGAGTTCAGCCTGGGCTTAAGATTGACACTTACACCCAATTTGTGGGAAAATGCTGGAGGGGCTATTTGTGTGGTAGCATTTTATTTTTCTCTCCCTTTCTCTAATGAATCTTCCTTTCTCTTTTCTAAAGGAAAAGCAATTGGTTTCAGCTAGTACTTGGACAACATTAAACAATTTGGATGACAGCTAAAATCACATCATTTTAGAAATAAAAGCAATCTTAGAGATAATGTCCAGTCTCCTTCTTTGACAGAAAATTGAGTCTCCAAAGGTCAAGTGATTTGCCCAAGTTCATATGTGAGAACAACAACTTAGAACCCTTATCAACCCTAGTTTTCTGACTTCTGACTTGCTACACCAAAGTCTATCCTGGAAGCCTGAACCCAAATATTTTTGAAAATAGCCAGACTTGGGAGTCTGAACCATTTGTCTTAAATTCAGTGATGGCTGCACATCTTAACTAGATCCGAAGGTCTACTCCCTTATTGACTCAACATTGATGTTGTGCCCCAAGCGAGGTGCACTTAGAAAATGTGAATGGGCAAGATTTTAAAATTTTATGGTTCGTGGACCCATTCCACACCATGGAGGGAGCTCGGAGTAAGCCTCAAGGACAGCCATAACTTTTCTGAGAACCTCCAAGTTGGAAATTTCCGTGTTTGTCCATGAAATTCTGACGGTTCCACAGAGGTAGAACGCTGACATTTCTAACACTTTTGTAGCTATTCCAGAGGGGAGGACACCTGGGCCTTGAGGCGTCTAGTGGAAAAACAGTCTGTTTCCTCCCGGGAAAATGGGCTCAGTATAAGGGGGACTTACAGGTGGAGGCTCAATGAAAGACCATGTCGGTCAGGCCACGGATTTGATGTTACATATAATTGTTAAGAGAAAGCCTGGCAGCTTTGATGTTTCAGAATATTGCTGTTAAGGGAATAGGCTATAAAGGTGATTCCAATAATCAGTAAAGAAAGGAGTTGTCGTGAAATAAAGACGGTAAGACAGGCAATATAGGTGCTTCAATTGTGGATGGAGAGATACTTTTGCAACAGTCAACACCAATTCAGGTGATGGAATTGGGCAGACATTTCTCCAAGGAAGACAAGGAGTCCATGACATCATTAGCCATCAGGGAAATGCAAATCAACAGCCAGTGAGCTACCACTTCACACCAACTAGATGGCTGTAAGGAAACAGGTGGCCAATAACAAGCGTTGGCGAGGAGCTGTGGAAACCGGATTCCTCACACGTTGCTGGTGGGAATGTAAAACGGTGCCGCCATGTTAGAAAACATTCGGGCAGCTCCCAGCAAGTCAAGTGTGGAGTTACCATACTACCCAGCAATTTCACTTCCAGGCATGAACCCAAAAGAATTGGAAACATATGTCCCCCCAAAACTGTAGATGAATGTTCATAGCACTATTATTCATAATGGCCCAAAATGAGAAACCACCCAAATGTCCACCAGCTGATGCATAAACAAAATGTACTGCGTCTTTAAAACAGTGTTTTCCGGCTGTGGGAAGGCATGCGGCACTGGTGTGTGGATGCACCTCAAAAACATCTAAGTGAAAGAAGCCAGACACAAAGGCCACATGTTGTGTGATTCCATTTATATGAAATGTCTTAAACAGACCAGCCCATAGAGACAGAAAGTAGATTAGTGGTTGCCTAGGGCTTCGGGGAGGAGGAATGGGGATGAGCACAAGGTTCCTGTCGGGGTGGTAAAAAACGTTCTGGAATTAAAGTCACTGTTGATGTTCACACTACTCTGGACATACTAAAACACTGAGTAGGATGTATTTTGTGGTATGTGAATTATATCTCCATAAAGCTGCTATTAGAAAACCACAACAATACAAATACGGGCCATAGAACTCGGTCTGTCAGTGGAGTGAAAATTTGGGTGTGCATTTCAGAGATGTCGGTGCTGTTTCGTGCCTTGAAAATTGAGGTCAAATGTCCTTTCGACCAGCTGACATGGAGACTCACCTGCTATTGTTCTGATCTTCGGCTCCTGCAGGGTGAGGACCCCCTTGCTGACAGCATGCTGACCTTCATGGCGCAAACGTCTGCTCTGACCTACGCTCCTGGCCCTGGGGCAGACTACCCTGGGGGCCGCCCGCTGCGGACCCCTGGCAGGTTGCAGCCTGACGAGCTCAGCCCCAAGGTGGATGGCAACGTCAATAGGCAGAAACTGATCGCTGCGCTGGGCGCATATGCAGCTCGGAAGCCCCCGGCGCCCCACGGGGAAGGTGACCCGTGGCCACGAAACCCACTGCATGCACCGTGGAAAACACCCAGGGTCCTTTCGGCGCCGGTGGAACCCCGGAAGTGGCCTTCGCCTCCAGGAGACCCCAAACTGCCCCAGGCCATGAGCGATGGTAAGTTAGCCTCCACCAATCCCCAGGTTTTTGTTGTTTTTGTCTTTCTGGCCCCTGCCCAGGGCCAGTCCTTTCCACTCTACACATCCTTTGAATGGCTTCTGATGCATCAGTGCTGCCCCCTAGGTCATGGCTGCAGCCAGTGCAGCGAGAGAAAGGGCCTCGGGCACCCTCCTGTGCCTCTGGTGCTCTGAGGAGAGAAGGTGGTCGTATTCATGCCAAGAGAATCCAGCCGTGGTGCCTAAGGGAGAAAAGGGCCCTCCTGGGGTGGAAGGGGCCACAGTGTTTAGACCCTCACCCTCTCAGAGTCAGCTTCTTTCATCATTGATGAAGATGCTGAAACACGTTGAGGAACAATGGGCAAGTCTGACCCCAAACTATGCTGGCCACAGAACATTGTGGAAAATTGAACATGAACGCTTTTGGATTCAGCATATGTCATGCCCCAGCACTCCTTATGGTCAGACTCGGGGTCACATTCACATATTTTTCGTTGCTTGACTGTCCCCAGAAGAGCCCAGTCTGACACGGATACCCCTCACGATGCAGTGCAGGCACCGTGGGGCCTTCAAAGTGACTGAGCCTCAGCACGGCAGCTTCAGGGCTCTTCCATGAGTCACGCCCCGCTGTGGCCGTCCCACAGGGATGCGGTACTTACTGGTTCCTCTGCCTCTGTCAGGTGCAGAGGGGTCCCTTGTATTTATCTTCTAGCAGCCTTTTTCAAAGACCATAAAATAGAAAGTGAGATTCTGATAAAATATGATTTCTTCTTTGAAGATATACAAATAATAAAATCAAGCAGATAACAGGTTTTTTTAATTGACCGAGAATCACATTAATGTTAGCATTCTATTTTCTATAAGTGATGCCTTAATTGGATTTGTTCTGACAGCCTTCTTTTCTACATATTGCTGCTTTTCAGCTAAGTAGCTTGCTTGTTCTCTCTCTCTCTCTCGGTCCACAAAGCCATTATGGCACCTTCTAAATGGAAGGAAAACAAAGTTATAATTACAGGGAGGCAGCGTGTGTGGCCATTACTAATGCTTTCTTCTCCTTCTTGTCTTGGGAAAGAAAGCTGTATGAGAAAGAAGACTGCGCTTGCCTACGAATTGTTTGCACATAAATACCCACTGGTGTGTCTGGCACTGCTCTGCAGGAGGCTGCTGCTTGGCGGGGGGGGGGGGGGGGGGGGGGGCACCTCTCTCTCCAGCATGTTCTCCTCTGGGGGTATTTCTCCTGCGCAGCTGTGAGAAATTCCTTTTACTGGCCCTGCTGCCTTCTGCAACTCCCATAATCCCTAGACTCTGCCAGTGGCCTTCAGCTGCCAATTTGGCCTTCACCTTGTCATTGCCTTTCCCATCTTCCCCGGCTCAGTGTCACCCGGCACCTCTGCTATGAGCACACTGCAGAAAGTCACCGCCAGCCACTGGGTGGTGGCCAAGCAGTGGCCTCTGCTGGGACTTCTGGGCCCTCTCCATGGTGCTGACCGCCCCTTTCCCGTCTTCTGCTGGCTGCCCCAGCTTATGTAACCACCACTTCCTTCTCTGTCTCCTTTCCCATCTCCCACAACTTAAAACAATCCCTTTTATCAACTACTTCTGTCCTAGCTATTGGCAATGGGAAGCCTCTACGAAAGAGACTTCAATGCACTAGAGAGCCAGGTGTGCTCACAGAATACGACCGGCTCCACGTGTCTGCTAGTGTTCAGGAGCCTCTGTCTCCCCGTCACTTGGTACCTTCCCATTCTTCTTGATGTCCCCTGAGGCACAGGTCTTTGGGAAAATCCTCTTTGATCTCCATTCTCCAATGACCCTTACTAACTGCATAATTTCATTGGCAGTGTTTTTCTGTGCTAACTTGCGATGTTGGTCATCCTTTCATGTATACTGTCTTCCCAGCTGCACTTTATGCTTTAAAAGGAGACATGTAAAATGTCAATCACCAAATAAATAGAGTATTGTTAAATGAACCCTGGGCATGGCATCACTGGGCTTCAGCAAAAGGCAGCTCCTGGCCTTTCCTGCCACTTCTACACCCCCACCACCTCCCCATTATCAAGTGGTTTCATCATTGTATTGCTGGCAGATGAGAACTCTTGTATAAACCTAACGACAATAGTTTTATCACACATTAAAATTAATAGTAATGTCTTAGTGTTGTGATCTAATCGGCTATCACATTTCTCAGTTGTCATAAATTTTCTTTACAGTTGGTTTTTTTGAAGTTCAAAAGAAGAGCCATTGCCTTGGTGGGTCTGTCTGTTCAGCCCCTTTAGATCTCACAAGGGTTCTCTCTCTTCTTCTTTGCTTGTCTCGTGGGGTTTTCACATTCTGGATTTTGCTGGTGCATCCTGATGATAGCATGTCCCTGGTTCCTGTTTCCTGTGCTCTGTACTTCCTGTAAGCCTGCAGTGTAGGAGCTAGCCCAGCCCAGAGGTCTGACCATGGTGTTAACTGTTCAGCAACGAGGCTTCAGAGGTGGTGACAGGGTGCTTTTCTGTGAGGGGGACACTGTCTTGCTGTGTCTTGTGTTAGCATCAGCAGCTGGGGCCACTCAGCCCCCCTGGCAGACTTCAGCTTGTCTCTTTGAAGTGTTCGATCTCTCAGCAAGATGAGCTGCTACCCCACCGCACAGGAGAGGCTCCTGGAACCTTATGCCTTCACCCGAGCACATCTCACAGTCTGCAAGTACATGTTTTGTGCAATTGTTTGACAAATGTTTGTCCCCCCCCCCTTGTAGACCATCAGCTTAGGAAGATGACACATGGCCTCCTTGTCACTGTCCCCATCCCAGCACCCAGCACCCAGCGTGTGCCTGGCAAAGTGTTTGCTGAGTGAATGAACCAGTGGATTCTTCCACACAAATGGCCTCATTTGATTTTCATGTCACCGTTATAAGGCGGTATTATTTTCAACCTCATTTTCCTGATGAGAAGCTGCAGCTCAAAAGTATAAATGATGGCACTCACCCCCACTGTCAGATCACTTAAGACGAAGTTGGAGCTCAGAAGAGGCAATCGTAAAACATTTAGATTTAAACACAATTTGCTTTGTCACTCTGGCTAATTGCTCCTGGACTCCAGTTGAAGCAAGCATTCAGATCCCAAGTTCAGCTTTTTCTGCTTAGTGTGTACAAAAGTATGTTCCTGGCCTCTAGAGGGGGCAGAGTGGAAAAGGTCACTGAGGGGCAGGGGTGTCAGCCGGTGTAGGATGGGTAAAGATTTCTCTTCTTACATATTTAATGAAAAAGAACGAGAAAAGAAAAGGCCAACTTTCCTCTAAATTTGCAGTCCAGGGGCTTCCTGAAAATAACTCTTGGACTCTGTGCACTGGGGTTTAATTGGTGTTCGATAACAGCAGACACCCGGGTGGGCCATTTCACGTCACTACCTGAAAAACTGCCCCTACCATTTGGCCACCCGCCTGCGGTCCCTGTGGAATGTACAGGTGGATTCAGTGTGCCGTGAGCACAGAATCCCTAGGCGCAGTCCTCTGCACCAACCCAGTTGCACCTTGGAAGTGACAGCAAGAGAGTGGGAAGGGAGGGGTGGAGGGCTGCCGTGCCCTCAGGATGGTCAGCCTGGACAGCTGGCCATCCCAGACGCCCTGAGGGCTGGTACCTGGAAGGGCGACCCTGTGGTCACGCGAAGGGCAAGGAGCTCCCATGTGACGCCGAGAAGGCTCTGTCCTTCTGCAGCATGATCGAATCCAGCTTGTGACACTGTCTCACATGCAGCCACAGGAAGACCCACCCATACCCGCCCCCAGAGAAGTGCTCAATAAATTGAGTTACTGACTCAATGTGTACGGCAGATGTTCATTTGGTAAAAGCTTATCATAGAAAAGACACCTCTCTCTTCATTTATTTTTTACACCCTATCTTTTAAAAAAAAAAGCTTTAAAGCAGTGCCAACTCGCAAGAAAGAGCTGTGTGAAATGGGGTGATGGAGGACAGACGGCAAACCGTGTGCCATGTGTGGATTCGAGCTGCACCGAATGCGGCCTCTCCGGTGTAAGGTGGAGCGCTCCGCTGCCGCCCGTGTGTGCACTCCTCCGTCGATGCCGTTCCGGAATTTCCAGATCAGTTTGAGTAGGGATCAATTTGTAAATGATTACTTGTTGGGATGTTTACCAGTTGTAAAATGACAAATGGCCACTGTGCAAAACTTGGGCGATAGGTGTGCAGAAAGAAGTAGACAAAAGTCACTTCAACTTACCTCCCGGGTGAGCGCCACAGGCTCGGTGTGCCTTCCTCTGTGGCCGTGTGTGTGTCGCAGTCCCCCTCTGGGCAAGGGGAGCGGGGTGTCGCCGTCCCTTTGATGTGTTCACCGGGTTAGTTCTTCCTCCAGCCTGGGATTAGTCTCAAGCAAGCCCTGTGAATTCCACTCACTCTTATGTAATATATAGTTCCATGCCCACTTTTTACATTAAAGCTTTTAGAAATTGTGGTAAAATACACATGACCTAAAACTGACCATCTTAACCGTTTTAAGTGCACAGCTCAGTGGCGTTAAGGACATACATGCTGTTGTGCAGCTGTCCCCACCACCATCTCCAGGACATTGTCCTCTTCTCAAACTGAGACTCTGTCCCCATTAGACACTAACTCCGCTCCCCTCCCCAGCACCCAGTGCCCATCCTCTGCTCTCTGTCTCTGTGGACCTGATGGCTCACGGGACCTCACAGAAGTGAAATCACAGGGCAGCTGTCCTTCTGTGACTGGCTTGTCTCACTGAGCATGATGTCCTCCAGGTTTGTCCATGCTGCAGCGGGTGTCAGGATTTCCCTCCTTTTCAAGGCGGAATGATATTCCACTGTATGGGTAACACCATATTTTGTCAATCAATCAATGGACGCTTGGGTTGCTTCTATCTTTTGGCTGTTGTGAATGTTGTTGCTGTGATATATTTAAATTTCTAAAATAACTCTCGCATTGTAAGATTATGATGTGCTTATTTAGAAAGATCCAAGTATTATAGAGTGTACCAAGTGAAATCTGAA